GGCCGGGGGCGTGAGGAGGGAGCCCCTCACCCAGCAACCACCCGCAAGGAGCCCTTAGAGCCCAGTGTGGGCAGCCAGAGAGGGGGCAGCGAGCCCAGAGGGGCCCAGGCGTCCTGCCCTACCCTACATCCACCCCATATAGACCCATCCTGCAAAACCAGCCTCTCCTTAGTTTGCTCTTGCTTTTGCAAAAGCAGCCAGGGCTGGGAAAGCAGCAGGACAGAGGGCAACACTCACCAGCAGGTAGATGCCGCTGGCGATGCCCAGGCACACGGTGCCCAGGATGGTGGAGAGGAGGAAGCCGGCGGGCACGGCCAGCCTGCATGGGGACGGGACAGGGCGCTGAGTCCCCGCGTGGCCGGCGGGGGCTGCACCCCAGCCCTGCGGAGCCCCCAGCCCCGCGGAGACCCCCAGCCCCACTTACGCCGCGTGCAGGATGGCCCGGACGTAGTAATTCCTCGTGAGGGGCCCGAACACCTTCAGCACGGCCGTCATGTAGCGCTGGCCGCTGTGCGGGAAGGCGGAGGGATGTGCCGGGATCGGGATAATCCCCCACCCCTATATCCCCAGTGACAGCAGCACCCCATGCCCATGGGCTCTGGAGCAGGAAAGCCTGGAAGAAGCTGTTTCCTGCTGCCTCCTGCATCACCCGGGGCTGTGTCCCCCCAAGCTGGGGACCATCTCCTGTGTCCCCAGTTCGCTCTGCCCTGCAGGAGGGCAGCACTTACCACCTCTCCATGGTGGAGCCCTTTTTCCGCCTGCTCCTGGGGTACTCGAGCAGGCAGACGAAGACACCGGCTGCGCTGCAGGACGTCAAGGAAGGGGATGAGCTGGGATTGTGCCCCCGGGATGCCACTGCTGCCAGAGGGAGGCAGGAGAGACGGGGACACAGGGCAATGCAAGGGCAGGGGACAGGAGAGCAGAGCTGCCATTGCCCACAAGTGACCGGGTTGTCACCCCAACCACCAGGGAAGTTTTGCAGAGCTGCAAAGAGCACGATGAGGTTTCAGGGCTAGGATTTAAGGCCTGCGGGTAGAGGGACCATTCAGGGCCAGAAAATGGCGATTGCGGAAAGGAAAAAAACATGTAAAAAAAAAAAAAAAAAAAAGAGGAAGTAGAGAAAAGAAAGTGAAAGGGAAGGTGGGTGGCTCCCCCCAGCCCCATCCCGCTCCCTGGCCGTCTCCAAAGGATACATGGCGTACGCCGCGAAGTACCAGCCCTTGAACTGCCCCGCCACGGCCACGATGCCGCCCGTGAGCATGACTGCGGGGACACGCAGCGTCGGCCAGGGACCCCCGGCCCCACGGCGTGTGGGGCTGGGGGTGCCCCATGCCAGACCCCCCCCTCCCCGGTGCAAGTAGGGGGTTGCTGCAGGGTTTGGGAGGCCGTGATCTTTGCATTGGCACCCGGAGGGAGAGGAAGAGGAGGCTCTGGGCAGGGAGGAGGAAGAGGAGGCTCTGGGAAGGGATGAGGAAGAGGAGGCTCTGGCCCAGCTAGTGCCCGGCCGGGACTTCCCCAGCCAGCTCTGCGCCATCCTGGAAAACCCGGCGGGTCCCAGCACCCCTTGGAGCCGCCCTGGGGGTCAGGGGACCCCCACAGAGCCCCACTGTGACAGCAGTGTCCCCACAGCGGTGACTTCCCCTTAGCCCCAGCTCCGAGGGCCGGAGGGAAGAGGCTCCGAGGCCCGTCCTGAGCGGGAGCCCAGCGCCTGCTGCGGGTTACGCGCAGGGCTCTGTCCCCGCAGCAGCCAGGAGGCCACCAGCCCCGGGCACGGAGCAGCTCGTCCCCCACAGCAGGCGGTGAAGGCGGCTGCAGGGATGGAGACATCGGGGCTTGGCGCCTGGCAGCCCCAGGGGCACAGAGGGTGGGCAGTGACAAGGGGACCCCGGGGCTGGGCAGTGACAAGGGGACGCGGGGTCTGCGCGATGACGGTGGGACGCGGGGACCATGCAGCA